AAAAAATATATAGATTAAAGTAGGAAGCCGCACTAACTGATTAAAATATTTTAAGAAATATGCAAAAAAAGGTTCTAAATATTTTTTTTATCTACAAAACTTTATAATTACGAAAAATACATTTAAAATAACAAAAATCAACAAAAGTTAGAGCAGAGGAGAAAATCTGTTAACAACAAAACTGTTTAGGTAACAAAAACCAAAATGGAAATTAAGATTTTGAGTTTAAGAATAGCATAACAAAACACAATACGAATTTCCAAATAAAAAAAAAACCATAACATTTTTTTATGAAAGTTTACGAAAAATACATTTTAAAATAACAACAACCCTTTACAAAATTATAAAAAAGAAAACAAACCAGACTACGAAATAAGGGGTTATGTATAAATACCAAACACAAGTTTTATTCTAAAATATCAAATAGTATACTTTTTAGAATTTAAAATAACTAAAGTCAATTAAAAATATAGTTAAAGATTCCCAGTCACCCATGAAGGTTTTAGGTGCAAAACCCACTACAAAAATTAGAGATAAAAATAACAAAGTAGTGTTTTCAAGACGACCATAAACATTTTAAGCGGGTGTACACAAACGGTGACAGTTGGAAAAGTCCGACTACAAAGTAGTGGCAGTAAAGTTAAATTTAAAGCTCGGCGGACCTTGAAAGCTCCACATCTCGGGCAAGCGTCCAAAGACCGCCGAGTGGATTACCACGATATATGACCGGTCAGACATTATGTCCGCGTCCCCGTCTAACTTTGGAGGCCCTTGACTTTACAGTCCCGCCGGAAATAGTGGACCAATATAGTTGTCGTATTGTTCTGTGGGGGACATTTTTATCTATTATTTTCATTTTCATTTATATTTTCCACGGGAATGCCATTTACAAAATACAATCAGTTAAGATCATAATAAGATTATATAAATACAAAACATTATATTACAACAAAACAACATTTTATCAGCAATTGCATCAATACAAGCAATCAACAATAACAGCTATAAAACTATGACATAACAATATTAACAATAGCAATGCAGAATGACCATGAATAACAATAACAAGGCATAAGAATATTAATAACGATAACAATGATAATAAAATGTATGTCTGAATCGTTTGGTAGGATGTCTGAGTTTAATTATTATTACAATGGTATGCATGAGAAAATTTGTTTAGGTCTTTGACTTAACAGTCCCGTCGCAAAGAGAGGTCTGACCTAGTGGACGATTTGAGTTAGCAAATATTACATTTTTCTCGCAGCAATCGTATACTATTAAACAAATGTTGAGACCTTTGAATTAACATTTTTTTAAATATATTAAGGGTCCGACTGTATCGGCGGGATGCGTGATAACTATTTAGTTAGCATTTAAGGGCGCACAATACATATTGTGTATCTTAGTTTTAAACATTTAAGAAAACTCCGTAGGTATTTTATTTAGCAATTTTTTCCTAGGTATATTTTTCATACGTTAGGTAGATTTTTGAAATATATTCATGGTAAGCGTATGCCGGATTTCTCCAGCTGTCAGCGCATACATCCGCACACACGGGCACGAGCGCGGGTTGCGATCACTGCCAAAATTTACCGAAGGTCAGACGGGTTCGTTGCTACCGCTATTATATTTTACACCGACAGATTTCAACGCCACAGTCAAGGCCTTGACTATTACTATTATAGCTCGCTTGTTCTACCGGTCGATGAAATATTAATAGAATATTTAACACTTCCGAGAAATACAATCTTGAAATTGAAAAAGAAAGTCAAAGCAAATACATGAAAAAATTATGAAACGATGAAATAATGGGGTTATTGCTACAAACTTGTATTTTATTTTAAGACGTGTACTAAGGTCCCAAAACTTCACTTAAAGAAATAATTAAGTTATCTTCGATATTTTTTTACAATTTGTAAATGTATGTACGCGTACGGTATACTTGGGAAGAATCACTGTCGTAATTAAAGGAAATTGGACTGATCTCTTAGAATTTTTCAAATCGAGGGTGTTAAGCTGTCAATGTATCAGAGCCCAGAAGCTGTTCTAGTTAATAGAAGAAAAACACTCCATTGAAAATGTGTAGGTAACATACAAACAGAAAAATGTTAATCAAGGATCACATTAAGACAGAAAATAAACTGAGGGCACAAGATCCACTGTAGGTACACTGTACATGAACAAAAAATAAGACAAAATAAATTTGTGTTCAAGATTATTCTAGTTTTAGGACTTTATACGTTTTTGGTACCAAATGAAATTTACATTATCTGACCGACATTATATGCAAAATGAAAAGTTTGTTAGAAAATGTAATATTACTTTTAGAGAATTTTATTTTTATACAAATGTTAGTCAAAGCCAATATGATTGCTATAAAAAATATTAAGTCTTCACTTAAAAAAAGTAGTCGCTGTTTTTTTTGTTTTTTTTTGTTTTTTTTTGTAAACCCTAAAAAACCACAGAGAAGAACTGATTCAATGAAAAACTAAACAAACTGTCCTATAGAAGTACGGACCACCCTTGAAGATCAGTAAAATAGAATGTCTTAATGTCTACTGTGTATTTCTTGTTTTACAATTTTTTTACTATTTTGACCAAATACAACACGTACACACTATTTATTTTCCCGTGTTTTTTTTCTTTTTTTTCAGGGCAGTAAATGTAACCGGATGCAACACCCACATCTACTTACATCAACCAAAGTCAGAGGTAAAACTGTAAACAATTGTCTAACAGTTCATTCAACTTCTACTACATCACAGTGCCGCTAGTGAACTGTCTAACATCAATTACAGGTGTTTAACACAGGTAAACGACCTATAACGCCTCACGCATAGCCGCACGCCACTCTGCATATAGTATTATCCGCAGTCGTATACTTAACATATCCCTACAGTATATATACTTGGGAACACATATCCGCTGTTTAAATTACTTCTCTATGCCGCAGCGTAAATACTTAGCAATACATATCCGAAGTGTATACTAAGATTTATCCACGCAACCATATTTTAACGGATACTGATAGCAGACTAATACATTGAAAATATGTTACAGTGTTTCTTGTCCGATTTACGATAAGGTGAGCTTATGTCGACAATATATTCGACCCTTCTGCCTAACCGTAACTTATTCTACGACTGATTCATAATTCAACCACACTCCACAGTACAAATTGTCATTACTTTTGAACACCACACTGGTGCATAATATAAGCTGAATAATAGAGGATGAGTTTAATGTGATATAATCTGTGTGGATTTGTCATTGACTACGACACCCCGATTCTAACGTAATGTTTGTTTTCACTCAGACTACCAGAAGCTTGTGGAAAATTTATTGATTTTTTCCAAAAACCAACAATCAAATTTTAATAGTTTAAGTTGAAAAAATTAAGACTGTCACATTTTTTACATATTTTTTTTAAAACTGCACCTGAAAACTTTACGAAATTTCAAAAATATATCGTCAATATCTTTTAAGATCTACATTTAAAAAATACAATTATTTTTGTAAAAGAGCATAGTTTTAATTTTTTTCACCCACGAAACTCCATGAACTTAATTACGGAAACCCCTGTATAACTTTATTATATTTCCCGAGCGCCCCAACCTATACCAAGTCGGGTTTAACGACTGCTTCAGCTTGCTAACACATTTGTCCTCGTTTGGTGAGGATAATCAATTAAAGCTTCATCTCGACAGACAAATTACTGGCGGCAACGTTTGGTCTGTGAATTTAATTTTTTCTGAGATCCAAACAGGAAATAAGCAGACGTGTAGAAAATCCACGCGATAATTATAGTGCGGTAGTATAAATTATACTTATTTGATGTTAAATAGTTTTTTAACAACTGGATTGAATTTGGATTTTTTTACAATTGTTAAAATGTAAACACTAGCAAAAATGTATATGTGCCTTCAATTAATTAACATTTTTGATTTAAAATTAACTTTTTAACAATGTATTTAACAATATTGATAAATTTAGTTATTCTATTTGGTACTAAAAATAGTATGTAAATAGTTATTCCATTTGGTACTAAAAATAGTATGTAATATATACAAAATACTGACAGCTCCTTCAGTCATCATAATTTGTAAAATAAATTTACACAAAGAAATAAATTACTACTGACTATACATGCAGGGTCAATATATTTTTGACTTTGTCCATGGTATTATAAACTTAGTGTAACAAAAAAAATACTGTAGAACCATTCAAGAGTACATTTAGATTGCTTCAAATACATCCTAATCATTTAATATAGTTTTGTAAATACTTTTAGCATATTACCATTGACTTTATTATAACAATGTCGACGAATAAATTTTTTTGAAATGATGTATTTAGCCAAACTGAATTTAAATATAAGCACAGAGTAGACACATACTGAAGCAAACGAATGAATTAAAATGTTTCAGGAAGGAGAATATTAGAACCCAGTGGCCCTTTCTTGAATTGTTCGGGAATTCACTCGGGTTTTGGTGGTACTTTGTTCTTCATCCTAATGGATTCTAAAGCCGTAAATAGAGATTGAAAATTGTTCAAAATGCATTGCAGTTGCATATTAAACTTGTATCTAGATAAACGTCTTCTGCCATGTATGTATACTGAAGACAACTATCCCATAGCATCGGTGGTTCAGTGGTAGAATGCTCGCCTGCCACGCGGGCGGCCCGGGTTCGATTCCCGGCCGATGCAGATACATTTTGTCCAACCGATATTTTATATTTTAAGTCATTGAGATGGCAGGATATTTTTCCACTCGTTTGTACATTTAAATTTTTTATTTTACTAAAAAAAAATAGAAAAAAATAAACCAATCTAGTTTACTTCTCTAATTACTTCCCAAGCAATCTGTGTGTTGAAGTTTTTTATCCAACGCACGATGTTAAAAGATATGCCTTGTCTCGTATTATGTCTATGTTATCATGACCTCCACCCTCCAGCGAACTCATAGCTACTTACTACGTACAGCAGATTAGACTGACCGTGGACCTCCTTCGTCCGATTGTATCCTCTGTCTGTTGTACTCGTCGTGGAACTGTTGTAGCTCTTCTACCAGTCCCTGGGTGACCATCTTGTCTACCCTAGCGTCCAGACGACTGTCCAGGGTATCCTAGGGGACAACAGCCATAGTTAGTTACAGAGGTCCGGCCCTGGATAACATATCTATCCTAACATCAGTGGCGGGTCCAAGGGGGAAAACTCCCCTCCAAAAATCCTTAAGAAAATATTGAAAATTCCCCTGTAATCTAAGGTATGGTAAAATCAAGGGAAAAGTCCAAATAATTGTTATGGTTCGAAAATGATCCCAACTGCCCCTCATCAATGCGCTTTTGCTTTTAATAAATGCTCCTGCTTAATGAACCTGCTGGTCTTAGTAACAAAACTGTCAACGTCAACACTTATCGTTCAGACATCTTAAACCCTATAATATAATAGTGTGTCGGCGTCATAATCTAAACTTATATGATACAGTATGTGAACATTAACAGTACGACCTGCAGTTTCTGCAAATATATTTATTTTGCATTACCGTACCCAGCAAAAAAAAAACTAAATTTTACGTCTTCGAATTGCGTTACAACTGTACCGAGTAAAGTCAAGAACCGAAATAGCGATAAAATCATCGACTAATTTAGCAAACGTGCGAAATGTCATCGACTCTCGGTTTGAACGGACAATAAATTTAGACTTCCTCTCTCTCTGGCCCCGAAATACCCAGCAGGTCAGAAAACGGCGGTCGTTAACCCTGTGTGTTTTACTACGGGATAAATGACAAGGCAGATCCGTCAACTGTAATAATACAATTATAATAACCATAATTACGATGGCTGTGGACTTCTACTAAAGAAATATGAAGCGGTTGCTGTGAAAATACAAGAGGTTGATCACCAATCGCCAACACAATCCTATGTTTTGTGTGTTTTTGGGGGGTCGTTTGGCTGATGAAGAAAGAGCGTGTTTCTCTCAATGTTATACTTTTTTTCTCGTTGTTATACCGTCCATTTAACACGTACCTGAAAACGTAAGGTAAACGGATCATCAACTAGAGTGTAATTTAATCAGCAACATATAGAACTTCAATTCATCCAACAATTCGTTGGACTTATTTGTATTTTTAATGTGTTTTTTCATAGTTGTAAAAAAGTTGGCAAAATTCCCTACATTAAGACAAAATTCGACACGACAGTCAGTGACTAATGCCTATGTAGCATTGACAAAATGGTGTTTCTATTATTTTAGAGTTAATTCTATGAATTGTGCTTTACTGTTTGGCTATATGACTAACACGTTGTTCTTTATGATTGCAGTGTTTTATTTGGTTAAATGTTGAAATAACTAGAAACAAATTGTAAACAAAACACGACCTCTACAGTGCACCGGAAAGAACTCACAATAAAACTGTCTTCAGCTGATCCATAGGTGGATGCGAACATTTGAGAAATCTACTAAGGGAGTATGTTTTATAAATGCTATTGCTTAAAATTTTGCAATGTAACCAAAGGGCAAATTTGATCTTAGTAAAATTCACCCAACAATAACAAAAAACCAACATCAGCTCACTCTAACAACCGGATACGAAACACCACATCAAACCAGTCTTCAAATCTTTCAATGGTCTACAAGTACACTTGCAGTATCCACAATCATTGCTTGAAACATCCACGAACGTCAACATATTAATTTCCAACAACCGACAACACTATTAAAATCCAACGTATAGCGACCCAACGACGACGGATCGATTGAGTTAATGGCTTGGACTGGGCGATGTTTGCAATACAATCGGTAAAGTGACAAGATCACTTGAGACGCGATTGCCGATCACTTAAACACTTGGGACATTGACAGACGGTCAATAAGTAATGCGATTTATGACAATGTGTTGTTCTGGTAGCTATAGTGACATTATGCCTGAGCATTAGAACTGCACTACTGGAAAAAAGTGTTTTGAGCAACCAGTTAACTAAAAGGAACTTTGGGGAAAAAAACTTTAATCACGAGCTACGCATGTTGTCTACAGCTTTGGTATGTATTAACTTATGTATTCAAACGCATGTAGTCCCTACTTAAAACATTGAGTTTAGGATTGTTGTGGATTAGCTTCATTATTGAGGTGAAGGTATTAAAAAAACAATGTCTTTGCTGACCGCAAAACTCGTTTCGAAAAAAATACTTTCCAATCAGTTATAGTCAAGAGTCAATGCACTTTGGTTAAATTTAAGCGCATCGATGTCGATTTTCATATTATTGCTCTGTATAAAGCAATAGGTAATTTGCCAATGTCAGTATGACATGTTATCCAAACGTATTTAAATTTGTATTTTAACAATTAAGCACCAACAAATTGCAAGAATTAACATTTGACTGCATATTCAAAAATTGGTATTAAAATTGTGATGCTTTGTCTAGAATTGTTACTAATTGATAATATCTACTTAATCACTAAATTGTAACGCATATAGCAAAACAATCTTTTGCTTGGACTATGAGGGATAAGTTGAAATGGGTTTGTAATTTTGTACCGGAGTCTCATACAATGCACACCACCAACAAAAAAATACTTCGTCAAAGTAATGCATTTCGGAACGGTGCAACGATTAGCACTAATCACTGTAATTGGGTACAATTCATTAGCACGGGGTGTCTCGAGGCGGCACGCGTGCCTTCCGCTAGTTGCATACTTCCGGTGTAGTCTGCAGCAAAGTGCAATTCTACCACTGAATTACCAGATCACTATCTACCTGGATCACGAGCTGTAATTTGGTTTTTGCATATTGAAAACGCCATATTATGTAGATGTTTTAGGATACAACCACTAGAAAATGTTGGCGTGAAGATTTAAACGTGGACGTTTAAAATCAAAGGGACTGCAAGGTTTCTATAAATGTGGATTTAGAATCTAAGTTGAGTTTCAAACAATTTTAGTCACAGCAAAATCACATGTTATCAATAAATTGGTCATTGTTGAGATTAGAACCTGGTACTCGAGCACAGAAGTCCTGCAATCTACCACCCCCACTAGACTAGCCGTCAGTAGACAATCCTGTTCAGCTACATAATTCAGACTTAATAAATTCAAGGCTTGAGTTTTTATAGTAATTGATACTACTCAATTACCTAAATATTTCAAAGTGTTTACAAAAAATATAAATGTTATCATGATATATAACATTGGGACTCATTGATACACATTAAAGAGGCTTGTATAAAAAAAGTTAAGATATGATTTTGTAAAATGTTTTTTTTATATATAAGGTTCACACAGTCCTATAATAGGAAGTACAGGATTCCCCATAACAAAATTAAAAATTGTGTAACCCTTGAGATAGTTGAAAATTAGTGTCTAGAAATGTTTACAATATTTCAAACTAGTCAAGAAAACATAGTCTGATTCTGCAATAAATAAACATTTAAAACTGCAACATAGAAAATGTTTGTAATTTGTAGAGTAAAACAAATATTTTAAACTAGCTTTTTTAAATTTCGTTTATCACACGTGTTATGTAAAGCAACTCGGGGAAATATTAACTAATCTTTATAAAACCTTCCCAGTCGTACAGTCATAAAAAAACTATAGTTATATACTAAGGTGATTAACAAAAGTTAATATTCCAATTAATACAAATAAATTCTGAACTATAATACCCAATCAGAACGCAAATATAGGAGTTATGAGCAGGTCACTTAAGTGTTGAAAGGACAAAGTGTCCCGCAAGAGACGAGATGGACAGTTAAAACGTCAGCAAACTGATCGATCAAGAGCTGCGTAAACCAAGTCAAGTATGTGGAGAGAGCTGCTTTTGACACCCAAAATATGATAAGACAGTATTGGTCAACTCGACTCTACGACATTATTGATCTACTTAAAACAATAGTTACACAAAATGTTACCAATTTATTTTTAAATTTTGCATATAATTGAAGACATATTGTGTTAAATTAAGTTTGAGTTTGTTGAGCTCTAAATGAATATAAGGAAAAGTTTGGGCTGTTAAAAGCAATGCTTCAAGAAGAGGCGTTCCGATCAAATGAAGTTTGAGGTTACTGTATCAGAAATAAATCTTTGAACAGAAAGATGCTTGATGTTCAAAGGAGATTGAGACAATTATGAGTGATTGTAAGAAAAAGAAACGTCAAGTCAAAATAAAGTTTGAAGTAATAATAAAACATTACAAAACGGTTTCCGCAATTGTACGTCAAAAAACATTCACGTGGCGAATAATCCTTAAAAAATTAAAAATGCAACATGATTAAAGATCTACACAAAAATAATTTGAGTAAATTAGGGCCTACCGAGAAGCCCGTGTATCATTAAGTTACTACTCTTACTACTGCTTCTATTACTTTATCTCTGTTAAATGCCAATGGAGGAAGTTTTCACCATAAGCACATGATGAAGTTGAATTTACGATCCAAAAGTAGTTGGTGGGATGCAGCTTCCCAGTGGGGCTTTTTAAAATCAGATTGGCATTCATGTGCGTCGGTTAAGATCTTGGAAACTGTAGTTGAGAAAGTCTTCGTCTTGGTTGGAAATTCTTAGTAATGGTAGAATACGAAAAAATTCTATTACGAAATTTAAATACGCACATAGGAGGCGTCCCCATCTCAGTTGGTAATAATAAATCTAAAAATTCACTCATAAGGATTTCTATAAGGGCAAGGACAACCGCATCGTTCTGAGCAATCATAAAAATAAATGCCATCCTAAACTCTATGTAAATACTATCTACATGATATTAAAGAGTTGACAACGGTTCTAAGTCTTTCCAACCCCAACAGCGAATGTACCCATAATGTCGGATATATTATGCTCTCCTAACACTAGGGGTTACGTTCCAGGGGTTGGTAGCATGGTGTGCCAGAACTCAAGTTATTTTACAACTAGAATCTTTACTGTATGATACAGACGTTTGGTCGACGGGTGTCGCCTAGCTATAATTCAAATAATGAGTAATCATAAATAGATTATTCCCTTTGAGAACATGCAATAGCATAGCAACGCTGGTGGCGCTGCCTACGGATTGACAGGCAAAGCTCTCTCAAAACGCTTAATGCTTTTTACCATGCGGTTGGCATTCTGGGTTATAGTAGTACGTTTTCTGTGCTAAC